TTTTGTGCACTTTACTGCATCATCTGTGCTGGCCGCGAAACAGCGCTGTGAAATGAGCTGAAGGTGCAATATGGTGAAATGTGAATTGTCCCGAATGCCAAGTTGAAGGCCGATTCAAACAATTGTAATATGGAAAAGTTTTTAAAAATGTGGATTTTGTTAAGAGTTGCACCTCTAGTATAAAGGCATTTGTCCGCTTTAACGCATCATCCGCCAGGATACCGATCGAGTCCTTGATCAGATCTATATTCATGTGATAAATGTTTTAACATAGCTCAAACTCAGTTTGAAGCATAGACTGTATAAAAACATGGACGTAGTGTCCGTGACGTCACCCGTAGGTTTCCGAAGAGCGTTTTTGAAGCTCAAAAGTGGGCGGAGCCGGCCGTCACCATCCTGGCAGCGCGTCACCGCGCGTCACTCCCAAATAATCGATGTTGGCTTCACGAGAGAGAGCGGGAGGTTGCCGCTTGGTTTGAAGGCGATTCATTTTCAAGATCTGCAGCATATCTCATCTGCAGAGGCGCCGCGTCAAGACTTTTATTTTGAAACTATTTGTTTACGTCCGAATGTGCGTCTTGCGTCACGCCGGCGCCCGTCGTTAGAGAATGAGCGTCGCACCCGAAGCAGCACATGATTTGTGTTTATAAAGTTAAATAATGACGGTGTGCAGCTTCTTTCTTCAAGGTCGCTGTAGATACGGAGAAAAGTGCTGGATTGAACATCCGAGAGGCGGAAGAGGAGGAGATTACAGAGGAAACCAGCGGAGGTCAAACAAACACATCACACATTTATATTTAACATTATCATGTTTTCATGAGAAAAATAGCATCAAAAACAGCCTGAGTGCCTTTTACAAAACAGTTACCGTCGTATGATCTGTTTTGGACACTTATCATGCTGCTAACTGCTGTGAAAAAGTAGTGTGCTTAATTGTATTAAATGTGTACTTAAAATTATTTACTTTTAAGGCCACTTAAGTGAGAGTGCACTTTGTAATAATGTCAAATGTAAAGTTTTACTTTAAAATATTTAAATCACTTTTGATGTGTTGACTTTAGTGACTTTTATTTAATGTGTATATATAAATACAAACACATGCATGCATATATTTCAGAAAAAATGTATATTAAATATATTTATATAAATTTAAATATATTAGTGCTGTCAAACGATTAATCGCGATTAATCGCATCCAAAATAAAAGTTTTTGTTTACATAATATATATGAGTGTGTACTGTGTATATTTATTATGTACATATAAATACACACATGCATGTATATATTTCAGAAAAATGTTATTTTTATATATTAAATATATTTATATATTATATAAATGTATATTTTCAAAATATATATACTGTATGTCTGTATGTGTATATATACATAATAAATATACACAGCAGACTCACATGCATTAGATGCGACTTTTTGTGAGTGGTTGGAGGGTTTTTATCTTAGTGTTTGAGTATTTTGTGAGTGTTATTTGTGTGTTTTGCAGGGTTTGTCGAGGTGTCTCCTGAGGAGCTGAGGCTGGAATATTACAACTTCATTTCTACAGTGAAAGACAAGATTAATAAGCAACATGCAGCAGCATCGGTGCATCTGAGGGAGCTTTTATTTGCACAAATGTAATAGTTAATGTCAGGGTCTAAACTGAGATTTTACCTCACCACGGCTGCATTTCTTTGATCACAAATACTGTAAAAATAGTGAAATATTATTATGATGTAAAATAGCTGTGTTCTCTGTGAATATCTGTTAAACTGTAATGTATTTCTGTGATGCGCAGCTGTATTTTCAGCATCATTACTCCAGTCTTCAGTGTCACATGATCTTCAGAAATCATTCTAATATGCTGATTTGCTGCTCAAGAAACATTTCTGATTATTATCAATGTTGAAAACAGTCGTGCTGCACGATATTTCTGTGGAAACCGTGATACATTTTATTTGTCAGGTTCACAGATGAATAGAAGCATTTGTTTGAAATAGAAATCTTTTGTAACGTTATAAATGTCTTCGCTGACACTTTTGATAAATGTAATGCTTCCTTGCAGAGTAAAAATATTCATTTAATTTTAACCCAAACCCATATTAGCAAGTATTATTCCTACAATTTATCCTAAAATGATCAGCAAATATCATAAAATTATCAACATACCTAAAAGCTATCATTTTGAAAGTTTTTAAATTCCTTGTTTTTATGTACGTTTTGTTTATTTTTGAATTCCTTGAAAATGCTTGAATTGTAATGTAGTGTGTTCAAGGTTTGAAAAACGCTTGGATTTTGGATAAAGTGCTTGAAAATGCAGTTGCACTGGTTTCATAATAATTCGTCGGCTGTAATCTGTATGTGTGATGCATATTACGGTTAAAACGAGAACTAAATACTTGGATAGCCTCCTGTTAAGTCTGTTTTTTCATATAAAAGGTCAATAAAAATGCCCCTGCACAGTTACACAAAATCTTTTGAGACAAGCGATTAAAGTGAAAAAGAATAAAAAGTGTTTTGCAGCATTCGTTTAGATCTGCTCACAATCCATATGATTTTTTTATGCGTGTTTTATCCCCAGCGTTGAGCATCATAACAAATCACACACGTTTGCTTAGCGCTTGTATGAAGAAGTCTTAAAACGTGAGCACGCACAGACAAAGAACCGTGATATGGTTTAGGCCTATGTGACGATTAAACTAAACTTTTTAAATTAAGATAACAATTTATACTTGTGTGTGTGGGTGTGTTTTAAATTAAGATAATTTACAGCTACTTTTGAATAACCCCTTTTTCTTAAAATAGCTTAAAGGCTGAAATGTGAGGTTTATCAGTATATAAAACTTTATAAAAAAACTACTGTTATTGAACATGCAAATCATGTTTGTTTGTTTTGTTTTGTACGAGTCATTAACATGTTACCATAGACATCGCCCTACCCCACTCATACAGTATTCATTTCATTTGTGCAGGTCTTAAAAAGCCTTACATTTCATTTTAAAAAATCCTGCAGATACGCTGTAAATTATTTTATTTTTAATTCTTTTAATTGTATAATTTATGTAATGTATGTTGGCTATTTATATTAGGCAATGTTATGTGCAATCCAGGTGGTTTTTAATAGCACAATAACAGCTGATTTAAAGTGGAGAACTCAAGTATGTAAACGTATTATAAAGCCGAGAGTTCCGGTGCTTGATTCTGATTGGCTGAGCCACGTTCAAAGCTGTTGTAAATGACTCTACAAAGTAACATACACCTTTGTTTACGTTTGTGTGTTGCTCGGCAACCACTTTGTAGCAACCACAACTGTTTCTGAGGAGCTACATTGTTTGGTGGAAGAATACTGTTTTTATTAATATCATTACACTTTATTTGCTCTGTTTTATTTTGTGAAACCTTACTACGTATACGGAATAACCGTTTTATAAAAGCAATAAGCCCCGTGAAGCCGTGGTTTACAGTGGATTTATAACAGCTAAAGGAGTTTTAGGCACTCTGCTTCGCGTCTAACAACGCCCCTTAGCTGTTACAAATTCACTGTAAACCACAGCTTCACGGGGCTTACTGCTTTAATTTACCACAGTTGTAAAATGCTGGAAAAGCTTGAAAATGCACTTTGAAAGTGCTTGACTTTTACTTTGGAAAAGGTGAAAGAACCCCGTTTTATGATGATTTTACTTCTTTGTATGTAAAGCACTTTGAATTAGCATTGTGCATGAAATATGCTATATAAATAAACTTGCCTTGCCTTAAAACAGAGTTATGTTGGCAGTTACAATTGAACAAATTATATTTCAAGCTTTGGAGAACTTATTTTAGAAGATGGATCCAGAAAGACGAATGTTTTTATTAACTGATGTTAACAAAGATTAATAAATGAATACGGGAATGCTTAAAATATAGTAAACATGAATAAAAAATGTATATCAGTCTTAAATCGGTCTGAAATGAACACTCAGCAACATAATTCTGTTTTTAGATGGATTCAAGATGAATTGTACACATCCAAAATGTAGAGTCTGTAAGCTTTTTTAAATGTTTTTATTTTTTTTTAAGTCAGTAATAATCAATTTAAAATAAATGTCTTCTATGTGAATGTTTTAATATGTAAATAAATATACATTATACATACATACTGTAACAAATGTGTTTCTCATTGTTAATGTATTAACTATGATGGGACCTTAATGTAAAGTGCTACCCAAATTGTTAATAAGTTGAATTTTATAAAATGTCCGTATTTATTGTTTGTTAAATGTTGAATCTGCCACGTGATATCTGAAATATATTTAAATACAACCCAGGGTTATTATAGTTAACTAAAACTAAAATTAAAAACATTAAAAACATTTTGATTACCTGAAATAAAATAAATGTTTTAATTTCATCTAGCCGCCAAGACAGCTTTTCTCATTTTCATTTAGTTTCACTTGATGTACTAAAATAACTAATATAAACACACACACCATACACACACAGACACACTCACAGTCTCACACACACACACACACTCATACACACACACACACACACACACACACACAAATTGTAAAAAATGTACAAATTTTTACATGAAGAATAAAAAGGTGGATAATGGCCTAAGCAATGCCTTAAACACCTAGCTATAGCAAAGCAAACACCTACAACCTAACGCTTTTGCAATAAATTATTATAGTACCATTATATCCAAAACCTATGATGTCATAGTACGTTTTAATAATATTAATATATATTAAATTAATTAATTATTATGAAATTAACGTTACACGAATTTGATTTAAATATGCTGTGATGGATGCAGTTTCCCGGGAAATCCCTCCCGACAGCTCTAAACAATTATTTTATGCTTAGGATATAAATTTAGGGTACGGCTGTACGGTTTGGAAGATGGTTTTATGATATACTCGCTCATTGAAAAATTGTCCATTTCGAGGAAAAAAATTACATAGTGTGACTTTAAAGATGCGTTTTGGCGCGTCTTTTCATCCGGGTCTTCTGACCGACGAATGATTGGCGGAGACGCAGCGCGCGGAAGCGGGAAACGCAAACACGGACGCATGTCTCGACGCGACGCGTCCGAGGGCGGCTTTAAACATGTTTTCGCGATCCTGCGCTCGTTATATCCGCGCGTTCAGACTCTGGAGGAGTTCGCAGACGGACTCGTGTTCTCGGACGGACGGAAACCGGCTCTTCTTGAGGAAAAAGACGGCGCGCGTTTTCAAAAACTCGCGGGAGGCCTGATCATATGCGCTCGTGAGCCACCGCAGCAGCTGCGCGAGCCCGCACAGGTACCTCACACACCTGTTTGAGTAAAATTATTTCTACATCAATCATATTCTGCATCACTCTATATCAGTCCTCCTGACCGAAATCGCTTTGTCATTGTTTACAAATAGCGTATACATCTGCCATAGCTGACCGTCGTTAATTCGCAAGTGTCTCATACGTAACGTTACTTCATATTTCATAACTTACTCAGAAACATAAAACATACAGACCTGCCAAAAAGAACTGTAGTATTTGACATGGACGTAATGTAATGTTATGGTACCATGGTATTCTTTTACGTACCTCGGAGTACCATGGTATTACTGTACATGTATAGCGTGTATGATATGACATATATCATAATTATGTAACATTTCTGTTAAGATAGGCCTAATTGTTGGTCAATAACACATCAGAAAAGTTTGTATGTTCATTCATCAGATTATCAATTTCTTGCACATTTCCTGTTGAATGTCCCTAACAATTTTTGGTTTTGGTCCCTGACATTATTTTATGGTTGTTAAAATAAAACTAAAAATAAAGTTCTTAGAAAATTATTATTTAGGCTAATTCCCGAAATAACCAGTTATACTATATATATTTATTTATTTTATTTATTTAGTCGTTTAGCAGACGCTTTTATCCAAAGCGACTTACAAATGAGGACAACCAATTGTAGTAATTGTAGTATTAAAACAACTAAAAACAGATCCAAAACTAAAAGCTAAAACTTTATAAATACTACCTATACACATTTAAAAAATAAAGAGATTAAATAAAAATGACAAATGCATACAACAAAATTTCAGAACTTAACATTTAAAAGAAAAACAAAAAATAAAGCTAAAAACAATTCAAAATATTAAAGAACAAAAGGTATAAGAGTACAATAATGATTCTAACATAACACTAAGCCAAACACCAAAAAAACAACTACATATATGTGTATGTACAACCTAGGCCATTGCTAGGGTACCCAGGGTGGTTGCTATGCCGTTGCTATGCGGTTGCTAGGCTACCCGGGGTGGTTCCTAAGGTGTTGCTATGCTGTGGTTGCTAGGGTACACGGGGTGGTTATATATATATATATATACACACACCAAATCTTAAGGTCTTCATTTTTTATATTGTCGCAAAATGTAGGTATATTATTGTCTGCTAAATGTGACTATAGAGTATGAAGATATTACAAGCATAAACATTATTTTCTTTAAAGCTGCATTGTTTCAATGTGTAATATGAAAAGTGCTGTACAAAAAAAAAGGCAGTTACTAAAGTTATGGAATCTTGTTTCCGCGACAGAATAACAATTTTAATTGCGCATTTTTATCTCACAATTGTAACTTTTTCCCTTAAGTTCTATATATAAACGTACAATTCTGAGGGAAAAAAAAAGTCAGAATTGTGAGATATAGCCTAAAATTTATATAAAAAAGTCAGAATTGTGAGTTACGAAGTCGCTTTTACATTTATTATTTTTTACTGGGGTGGAAAAAAAAAAAAAAAAAGAATTCTGAGAGACATATTCAGAATTACAAGATATAAACTTATAATCAAGAGATTTTATGAGAGGAATTGCGAGGAAAAAATAGAATTGTGAGTTAAAAAGTCACAATTACCTTTTTTTTAAAATTCCGTGGCAGATTTAGAATTATCTCACAATTTTAGATATAAATTTTGAGAAAAAAGTCAGAATTGTGAGATGTAAACTCAATTGCAAGAGGAAAAAAAAGTCGGAATTCTGTGTTTATATCTTTCTTTGAACAATGTCCGAATTGTGAGATAAAAAGTTGCAATTACTTTTTAATATTTTTATTTTAATTTGTTTTTTATTCTGTGGCAGAAACATAGTTTCTATACAATGTTCTATGTTAGTTTTGGTCTAATTTAGTAAAAATTGTTAAAAGAAAACAAATATTTTAACATAAAAAATGGTCGTAAGATTTTGTTCAATGTTTGATTTCAGCTCAGCACGCTGCCGGAGGTTTTAGCGTTCACGCTAAACCACATCAAGCGGAAGAAACTGAGGAACGTGCTGGGATTCGGCTATCAGTGCAGCAACGTGGCGGCCTGTTCGGACCCCTTCCGTTTCCACGGCGACGTTTCGCAGACGGCCGCCTCCATCAGCACCAGCGAGCTGTGGAAGCGGATCAACCAGCGTCTGGGAACAGAAGTCACGCGATACCTGCTGCAGGATTGCGCAATCTTTGCCACCGTCCCGCCGTCCTGTTTGCTGCAGGTGTGCGGCGAGCCCGTGTACGATCTTCTGCTGCCGTGCACCTGGTCCGGATTCTTCCTAGACCACGGCGCGACTGAAACATTGTACGGCGTGACGCGCAAGACTCCCGTCGGCGTCGCGCGGAAGAAAGTCGCGAGAGATGATAAGAAAATAGTTTCGAAAAAAAAGAGAGCGAGAGAGGAGGAAGTGGACGACAAACGGGAAGATTGTCCGGTAGTAAAGAAGCGACGGCTTACGATGGACGAAACCGATGGTTCGTTAAATGCGCGAAACCCTGAAAGTCACGGATCGCGGAGCTGGAAACCAGCGGATCAGCCTCCTCCGCGACCATCGCGCTGTTCCATCCGCGTTTTGAGTATGCTTTATGGTGGGCGGGGCTTGAAGGGCTTCCTGCTAAACAGGAAGCTGAAAGCAGGTGTGGGCGGGGCTAGACGGCTGCAGGGGGCGGATCTCGTGCGCATCATTTTCCTCCAATCGGAGTCCAACGTGTTTGACGGACAGGCCAAGTTTAGGAAGCTTCCCAAGCGTTTCTTCGCAATGGTTCCCTTGTTCGCTCGGCTCTTGTGGCAGCACAGGAAGTGCCCGTATGCTCTCTTCCTGCGCAGGAAGTGCTCGGTGAATCCAGAGACGGAGGATATGGAGTCGCTGCTGAAGTCGCACTTGTCGCCTTACAGGGTTTATCTGTTCGTGAGGGAGTGTTTGCGATACGTTGTTCCCGAGGAACTCTGGGGATCCCAGGAAAACCAGCTCCACTTCCTGTCCAACGTGAAGAACTTCCTGCGTCTTGGGAAGTTTGAGCGTCTCCCATTGGTACAGCTGGTGTGGAAGATGAAGGTCAAGGCCTGCCATTGGCTGGGGCTCAAGAAACGTGTGTCTTTAATGCCTTTATTCTCCGTTTCGTAACTTTGGTTGTTTAAAGCCAAGCAGATTGGATTGTTTTTTAATTCTTATTTTTATTTTTATATTAGTATTAATATCGTTAATTAAAACTAAAACCATAAAAATGTCATTCTTAAATTAAATTAACTGAAATAATATAAAATATAAAAAATTAAACCTATTTTATTTCAGCTAGTTGCCAAGGCGACATTTCTCATTTTCATTTACTGTATGTTTAAGTACAAAAATAACAAAAACTAAATAAATTAAAAATAAAAATCTAATAACTATAATAAAAAAAAATAGTAATGGCAAAAATAAAAAAAAATAAAATGCAAACAAAATGACTAAATCCTGAACTAAAATTAAAATGAAAGCAGAAAATATAAAAACATCTAATTCAAAATATTAACAAAAATTATAATAGTATATCAATGATACTAAAATAACATCAGATGGTCAGGTCTCGAATACAAGGTTAGTATAGTTAACTAAAACTAACATAAAAATACATTACTTAAAATAAATCATAACTGACATAAACACAAAAAGAAAAAAAAAACTATATAAAAAAATCATTAAGCTTGTTTTATTTGAGCTATTTTCTAAGGCAGCATTCTTCATTTTTGTTTAGTTGTCGTTGAAGTTCTAAAATAGCTAAAACTGACATAAAAATGTATAAAAAAAAACAAAAAAACAATGAAACATATAAAACTTTGAACTGAAATTAAAATGAATTAATATTAAAAATATTAATAAAACTATAATAATATACCATTGATACTAATAAACATTTATTTTATTTCAAGTAAAGTGTTAAACTGAATTAAAAATGTAAAAAAAAAATGTAAGGAACTTATTTTATTTCAGCTACTTGCCAAGGAAACATTTTTCATTTTTAATTTAAGTTGAAGAGCTAAAATAACAAAGTAATGTGAATAAAAAATATATAGACATAAAATATAAGAGAAATATATAAAATAAACAATAGTAATAATAACAGACAAAAATACACAGGAAATATGTACTAAAACTTTAAATCAAATTAAAATAAAACACAAAATATAAATAAAAAAAATCAAAATATTCATAAAACTATAGTAATATATCAGTGATACTAAAATAACACTGGTATTATATCCATCAGATGGTCTCACAAATACAAGGTTACTGTAGTAAACTAAAATAAAACTGAAATAATTTTTTACTAATCGGGTCATTTTAATTGTAATATAATTGAAGAACTTAACTAAAACAGAATTAAAAATTAATCTAAAAAAAAAAGAATAAAAATAACAAAAACACAACAAAGTTACTGAACTTTACAATGAAAATGGAACATATAAAAAAGAGAAATCTGCTATCTAATAAAAACTGTAATAGTGTATCACTGAAAGTAAAATAATCTAATGATCGTGACTAGTTGTCTTGATTGAACTCGTCTCTCTCCTGGCTGGTGCTGCAGGTCAGTGCGCGAGTGAGCACCGCTACAGAGAGTGGATCTGCGGGCAGTTTCTGGGCTGGATGTTGAGCGGTTACGTGATGGGTTTGGTCAAAGCGCTGTTCTACGTCACCGAGAGCATGGGACAGAAACACACGCTGCGCTTCTACAGAGGGGAAGTGTGGCTCAGACTACAGGAAATGGCCTTCAGGTGCGTCATGTGACTCGCCTCACCTGTCGAGAACCTGAGCAAAATTACATTTGAATAGAAATTATTATAATCCTGTTTTTAGCATTATTAGGATTGGTTGCATTGTGACATCGTTTGCATAACAATTAAGCACGTTTTTATTTTGTAAATAATATTTACTTTTAAATTTACCATTTATTCTATGCATTTATTACCGTGTTTAAATATGTTAAAAATAAACAAATGTAATTTTTTTACATTTTAATTACTACTTTTATTTATCAAGGATGCATTAAATTGATCAAAAGTGACATTTATAATGTTACAAAAGTAACGTTTCTACTTATTTGCTATTGATCAGTGAATCCTAAAAAATACAATGCATCACGGTTTCCACAAAAATATCGTGCAGCACAACTGTTTTCGGCGTTGATAATAATCAGAAATGTTTCTTGAAGACTGGAGTAATGATGCTGAAAATACAGCTGCGCATCATAGATATAAATTACAGTTTAACAGAGATTCACATAGAGTTGTAATAATATTTCACAATTTTTACTGTTTTTGATCAAATAATCAAAGCTTGCTTGTTTCTTATTTTATCTTCTGTTCATTTTAAAATAACAAAAAAAAAAAAACGATGTAATTCTGGCCACTGATCTGATCTGGTTTATTTGCAGAGCTCATCTGTCTAAGGGCCAGTGGAGGGCACTGTCTCCATCTCAGGCCCTAGTCTGTGTGTGTGTCTGTGTCTGTGTCTGTGTCTGTCTGTCTGTCTGTGTGTGTGTTTCTGTGTGTCTGTGTCTGTGTGTACGCAGATTTTCCAGAGCGGCGTGCGGCTCCTGCAGAACGTGCTAAGCGTGTGTGTGCGAGAGGCCCCGGGGCCCATGGGCTCCACCGTCTGGGGCTGGCAGGACATTCACCGCGTTCTCAAAGAGTTCGGCCCGCAGCAGAAGAGCTCGCCGAGACCGCTGTATTTCGTCAAGGTGCGTCTGATGATGTGAATGCTGTGAAAATAAACCTGCATTATTAATCCTTTTGATCTGTTTTTTTTTTTTTTTAAATCACA